AGATGTTGGCTATTCAGAACTGCTACAGGTCTTTTTCTTTAGGCACTTTGTGGCGACTCTGATTCTTCTTGTAAACAGCAACCCAATAGCAGGCAGATTCCAGCAGGGATAATTGACTCATGTGTGAAGTTTCTTAACAGAACACTTAGAAATAGCTAAAATTCATTTTCTGTATTTAGAAAAATTAAAAGACAGAGCCACAGCAGGTACAAATTGGCATATCTTATTTAAAGTCACTGGAATTACAGAGATTTTGACCAACTAAATAATCTGACCTCACATCTGCATGTTGGGAGACTGAGCAGTAATGGTAGGTTTTTGCATCAGAGAAGAGTATCATTTCCCTTCTACTACTGGTAACAAGTTGTGAAAATAATGTTGCTGTGGACTGGGAAATATTTACCTTATTTCAAAGGGATATCATTTGTGAGTTCTTGCTCATTAATAAAATATGCCCAATCTTTCAGTCTAGACTGAAAAATTACTGCTGCTCTCTGTCATTTTAAATAACGTATAGTGTATCTTTACCAACATACGGTAGCATCTTTCCAATAAATGCTACGTAGTATTCTTCTGGAAGTTACATTAGAGTGCCTCTTATACAGAGATGTCATGGAACAGCAGAGATCATAAAAAGTTACAATGCTGACTTTATGTCAGCAGTTAACTACAACAGTAGTTTTGAAATAGATAATCCACCCTTTATTTTGAATTTTGAACTAAGGAATTTAAGCTAAAGGGCTTGAAAGGATAATAATGTAAGACAGCTAAATACCAATAGTATAATTATTTGTTAAATTTACTAAAGAGATGATTATTTTTACATAGGTATCAATCTTACTTCCATGGAAATGAAAACAAAAAATAAAAGAAATCATACTAAATCTCTTAAAAAGAGGAATGGATTCCCAAATTGTAATGTAGACTTCCATGGGTTTGGACTGCTAAGACAAGAGCATATCAGCACATTGACAAAACCTTTGACAAATGGGCTTTGCTGGGCCTTCTGGACAAGGCTCAGAAAAGATGGAAAAGAATTATTTTCCTAACACATCAGTGATTTCTCAGCAGATATCCTCTGAGATGGAAAAGAATTATTTTCCTAACGCATCAGTGATTTCTCAGCAGATATCCTCTGAGACTGATTGAACTAATCTGTTACTATTTCAACATATTTCCAGTATAGAAAGAATGCCTTTAGTGCTAAGGGGTCTGTTAAAGTGGCTGTGCTAACGAAATAGAGCATTTTTCAGTAGCTCCTTATCCCTTGGTTGGTAAACCTAGTTCTACCTGCAGTAGGTACCTTGGCCCACAGAGGTTACACTTACTCCACAAATGTTAAAATGTTGCCCTCACGGTATTGCAAAAAACTTATGGATGATATGCACTAGCAAAGATCTGGAGAATCTGGTCCTGAAGATTTAGTTTGTGTAATCTCGGTTTGTGCTGAAGTTACACCTCCCCAATGAGCACTCGAAAGAACTATATAAATGTTTTAAACCAAGTAACCATTGCTTTAATGCAGAATTAGGATTAATATGTGTATTTTATGGTGAGGAAGACAAAAAGCATGAGTAAAAACTCTTTTTAGCCCCTGCCACAGTAAAACCTCATTGGCAAAATGAGGTTTGTATGTAGTTGTAGAGTGAGATACCTGTTCATAGATCTTTGTACATTTTATCAAAAAAAAGACTCAACCTTGTGCTGTCACACCCCCCCCCAAAAAAATATTCCTGCAGTCCAAATTAATGCATTTTCTGATCTAAACTAATACTTATTAGCACATCGTAATTTCTGCCCTCTATCTGCTTTGTGAAGATGTATTTCAAGTAATTTAACACATAGAGCCCCTACGACTGTTAGGCACACTCATGGTTGTGTATATATATATATACACACATGTACGTAACTACAGTCATAGCCATCTCACGCAGGCTTAGCCGGCAAACTGAGCAGGGATTGGACCAGATGACCTCCAAAAGCACCTTCTAATTTTAATTATTCTACGACTTGGAGTTTCAAGTTTGGGTTCTGACCCTATTAAGCCACCTCTTTTCCAGACAGGGAAACTGGATTTATATAGAACAGTCTCTCACATTTTTTTGCAATGGTATTAATGTCAGAAATGGAAATACAGCAAACAGTGAGATTTTGTATTAGCATCTGAAACATTATCTTTCAAAAAAACTATATTGTACTCTATAGCTAGGTAAATATGTGTTTCTTTGCATACCTATATTACCAGATTTGAAAACTTCTAGCAGTTATAAAACTAAAACCAGATTTCAATATGCATTTAGGTATAATCTGGGTTTTATCAATTTCGTTCTGGACATTAAAAGCACTTGCAAAATTTGGGCCATATATAATCAGAAGGACTGATCTGAAAGTCTTAAGGAAATGAAAAGGGCTTTGTCATTATAACTTTCATTATTTTTAATGGCATTGCATAGCTAAAGCCCTGCTCATCTGGATAAGGTGCTCCGCTGATTGTTCTGGCTGGTATGCAGTGTCACACAGCCAGACATTCAGGCAATTGGATACCCATGCTAATTTATGATCCACTTGGAATTCACATAAAAGCTGGAATTCAGTGGCCTTTTTCCCTAGTTACATTAGCTGTGTTCTCTCTCCTCTCTTTCACACTAATCTCATAAAGCATTTTCTGGTTTTTGAAATTTGGAGTGCCAAAATGGCTTGAAACGGCAGAGAAGCAAACAAATAGCTAATTCTTTCCTACAAATAATTACCAAGAGGAAAGGGAAGTTTTAGTGACTGTGGGCAGCTGTTCTATAAGGTTGTTCTAGATCTGAGACAAGTCCTAGACAAATGTACTTTTTCATCTTCTGGTCTTGCACTGTCCAGTACATCAGACTATACTAGCTGTTTGACTTTTGAAGCTTTCTCATCACATTAATATTCAGCAACACATTGCCTTTTGATTTACTTTCTCTTTTCCATTCAGAAAAAAAAACCACTCTTCTTGGAGAATGGAGGTTTAATCGGTTATAAAACAGGAGTACGTCTTTTTATACAGTTATCTTTTTCATTCACTTTGCACAGACTGAAAACATATAATCTAGTGCCTTCTGTTTGCCAAGACTTTATTTAGAAGGATTTCCTTTCCTCTAGGGGGGGAAACCTTGCTTCAGTTTTGTTCCTTTGAATTACAATTAGATCTTTGAACTCCAGATAGCTGAATAAACAAATTTCCCACACCAATTTAATTATCCTGGCATGTTTGTCAGTACCAGCAGAATATTATGTAGCACACTGCCAATTAAAACTCCACTTTCGATTGCCAGTAAAACAGTACAGGTTCAAGTCATGTAGCCAGAGGGAGGAGGTTGGGTTCCCTATTCTTGATCTGGGAAGCTGAAGCTCCCAGATGATGCCAGGGTGGGTTAGGTAGTAGCCTGGAGGCTGCAGCCAGCGGTACCAAGTACGTGGAATGACGGCAAAGATTAACCTAGCAGCTTCCAAGCCCAGTTCAATGCAATGCAAGACTGGCTCTCTCGTGCGTGCTATGCATTCCTAGCTGCTCATGCGGTCTCAGGCTGCTCCAGATTTCACCGTACCTTTAGCACCTTGTGGAAAGCGGAGTCTTACCCACAGGGGCAGAGATGTGTTGTGGCTCTTTCCTGTCAGGCTGTGCTCATGGGGAAGAAAGAAGCTAAAGCCTCTTTCGTAACTGAGTTGTATTTGTGCACTTGGCTTATAGCTCCCAAATGCCCAACATGGAAAAGCCTTCAGGCCATCCACTGCGCATAGTGTAAGCGGGATGCAGCAGGATAGCCCTGTAGGGAGGAGCAGGCAAGACTGCTGAACAAAGGTCTGTTAACAGAATGGCTCTTTGAGACTCTGGGACTAATCATCCCTTTGCTATTGCACCCATGACCATGGCCAGCTGTGTCTGCTTCCAGTCTTGTGTGCCAACATGAGTTCCAGCCCCATTAGAATCTACTTCTCTGTACTCTTTAATTCTAGCTGAAACAGTAAAATAATTACATTTTCTGCTTTTGACCCATTCATGTCCAAACTCCACCCACCGGCTTAAGACATATCTAGTATCGTTAAGATTTTTCATATCCAGCAGTGTTCCAACTTTGTCACAGAAGCAGGTCAGGAAAGAAGGGCACTGGCATATTATGCAAAAAACTCACAGTTGCCTAGCACCCTTCAGCTGATTACCACTGACATTCTGAAATTAAAATATCTGATTATGTCATATTCTAAATTAGTTTCTATGTTCTCCTCTAGAACTGGAGGTACAGATTTTAAGAAAACAAAACATCCATTAAGGCTACTCTACACATTTCTAATTCCTAATTTGCCCTTTTTACTATGCTAAGCAGGCTGAATTATACTAGACCTGTTGTCACACTGCTCAGTAGCATAAAAAATGGTAGACAGACTTCTTATCCTCTCTGGGTTCTGGTTAGCAAAAGCAAAGACGAAAACCATTGGCAAAAATTTGTGCAAAACTTTCCAAATGCACAATAAGCTCCAGTTCATCAGAGTGGAGAAAAGCTGTGTGACAGTTTGTTTCAATGAATCTAATTATTGGTCTTGTCAGTAATGTGTTGCATCAAATAGTTCTCTCAAAGAGAAGTAATGCAACAACACTGTGTACATACTAAGTGGTATTTTGATGGAGAGTTGCATAAGCTAAGTGACAATTAGATTTGTTTCATAACAGGTCCCACCTGAGTCAGTGAGAGAAAAAACAGGCATGCCAAAGGTGATAAGCACTGATGTTCCTTCGAACAGACAGAATATGATCTCAACTGTACTAAAAGGAAATGTTGCTAAAGTGAACTTTAACCTTAACTGTTATATGACATCTTTACTGTGAGTCTCCTATTATAAAGCAGGGAATTTTTCAATGTTATATACAGTACTATTAAAACTTGGATTATGTGTTTATTGTCTCTGAAGAGGTTGCTCACAAATTCATGTTTTTCAAGGCTTTCTGTTCTTCATTTTTATTTCTTTAACAGCTCCACCCAAAAGAGTGATGATGATTATGAAGATTACACCTCAAATAAGACTTGGGTTTTGACTCCCAAAGTCCATGAGAGTGATGTCACTCTTATTTTAAATGGCTTGCTGGAAGGATATGACAACAAGTTGAGACCTGACATAGGAGGTATGTTGCTTTTCTTTTTAGACCACTTTTGGTTAAGCAGTGAAGAGAAATAATTTTCATACCCTGTTATGCTACACAGGAAGTAGAATCCATTCAAAGCAGTTATGAATACAATGCAACAAAACATCAGTGGCATGACAAGTAGTCATGATTTTGGAAGCTGTCATAAATGAAGATTGCTAAATCTATCCTGAGACATCTAAGAAGACTTGTGATTTGCTGAATCAGGCAGCTTTTAATGATGCACCTGCGCAGGACGTTCGAAATTTAACTTTTGGGGAATGAAAAAACAAGTTTTTATCATCTTTGTATATCTAAATGAGGGTATTAGAGAATCACAAATAATATATTGGAAAAGAAGGCCAAAATGAGGATGATGCCGCCTGATCCTTGCATGATTTGATGGACACAGACAGGGCCTCTAACAGCAGCAGGTCTGCATTGACTGATGCGACGTGGGCCCTCACTCACACAGCAGGGCGAGAAGTGACGGGGAATGGGGCACAGAGGAAGAGGTTCACAAAAAATAACTGCAACCAAGTAAGGAAAACCTCCCTAGATTTCCCCCATAGCCAATATAAGTATACAGACCCAAGCCTGGACTGATAATGGAAGTGTTATTTGACTGAACCACCTTCTGCAGGAATCTTCCTCTCCACTGATTACTGAGGGAGCTTGAAGAGAGAAATCTCCCTGAGTTGCTGCAAGTCAGTCTGAGAAGGGTCCATGTGAGCACAGAACAGGCAGACAATGCTGCTGTAGAAGAGGATACAGCAGTACCAAAACTATAGAAAAATGCAAAGAGAATTCATGGATGAGGCAGGCAGAGGAAGGCAGAGAGTGGCCAGGTTGATGAAGGAAGCTGTTTCTGACAAGTTTATAGAGGCTTATAAACTAAGGATTATTTTAAAGTGAAAGATAACATAAGTACCTAACCTTCAATGTATGTATATAGTATAAATTCACAGAGGAATTTGTCTTATCATTCCAATCCAAGACTTTAGAGAACAGAAAGTAATTAAGCATTCACAAAAGCATCTGGGAAAAAAAAAAAGTCATGTTTTAGTCAAGGTGTATAAGAATAAAAAATCCACAATAGACTAATTTCAAAATAACTTAATCTAACAACTGGTTTTCAGTCCTGTTTTGGAGCCTTTAGTATTATTTTTGCTTTGGGCTCATGAAAATGTTACTTAACTGCAGCCATCTCTGCAGGCAACAGCACTCATGTTGCATTTGGCTTTATAATGCAAAACAAGTCATGCAAGACATCATAAGAATAAATTTGCTTTTGTTGATAGTGTTTTGTCAGATGTGTTGCTGTGACCTGACATAAAATATACATACTCTCAGTCAGATGAGACTCACTGCAAGGCAATGACACTGGTTTCAGTATTTGTTCTTATAGCATAAGTGAGTTGTTCTGGTAGAACAAACAATATAAGAATTTGTCTCAAAGTGTCTCTGACTAATTTCAAACTGGACACATGGCTGCAAATTTATATTTATTGTATATGCACAGTTAAATGTGAGGCAACTATAGCCATACAAGAGAGGCACTACAATAATCTTTTGCTTGTGTTTGACTTTCACGTAGTTGATTTGGACCTTCTCTCATGTTACTGATTCTTGTTTCTCTTACAGTTAAACCAACAGTAATTCACACGGACATGTACGTAAATAGCATTGGGCCTGTGAATGCTATCAATATGGTAGGTAAACGATTGCCAGCTTTCTTACAATGTTCACTTTGTTACAAAGGCTCCATCATTTTTGACATTAAAAATCTTCCACTAGTCTTAATGTTGTGCTATACCTATTTTTAAAAAATCTTAATATTACTATGCATGTGAGAACTATATGAGTTATGAATCTACAAGGGAAGAAAACTGAGCTCTATGCTGATAGAAATGTAATAACAATAGTTTTAATAAATATCCTCACACTTTTACATGTTCTACTTTCAAGTGCTTTGTGACAGTCTAACTCCTGTAAAACTGAGCTTCTAGATTGCTTTAAAATAAGGTAAATGATTCATCAGTGATATTAATACTCTTGCCACCAAGCGATAAAAAGAAAAGAAGCCTAGATCCTCTCTCCTCTGTTCTTTCCAAAATTCCTACAGAAAAATTTAATTCTGTCTTCATATAGATGAGGGAAAGTGGTCTAGCCTTAGCACAATGTCTACTTCATTCTCGTAATTTTCATGTGTAGAAAGAAATCTCACATTGCTCTTTTACATTCTGTAATTCCCTTTGCAGCTTCTGGCCACCCAGAGGTGCCAGGGAAAGTGAGAATTCACCACTTCTGATATTAACTGGGGGCCACAGGCAATTAAGGCAGCCAAGTCAGCTCAATCTTTTCCTGTCCTAGATCCAAGAGAATAAGTGATTATTCTCTGACCTGACCAGGTGTGGGTTGAGGTGTGGGGATATAGAATTAGAAAGGTGCATATACCACTAAATTGCATCATAGTTTCACCTGTCAGTAGGAAAATAACGAAATAAATTATTTTAAAACAATAATCTTTGGTAAACCATGCCCTCAAAAAAAGTTGTTTTTATCAATTCTAGTGTCATATTCTGTAATTCACATTTTATTCATCTGAAATTAAGGAAAGCATATCAGGTGTTATGTGAAATGCTGAGTGCTATGTTTTCATCGGTATTTCTGGTTAATACAACAGGAATATACTATTGATATATTTTTCGCCCAAACGTGGTATGACAGACGTCTGAAGTTCAACAGCACTATAAAAGTACTCAGATTAAACAGCAACATGGTTGGGAAGATCTGGATACCAGATACATTTTTCCGAAATTCCAAGAAAGCTGATGCTCATTGGATAACAACTCCTAATAGGATGCTCAGGATCTGGAATGACGGCAGAGTGTTGTACACATTGAGGTATTTACACCTGACTTTAGTTTCTCTAGGGAAAGCCAAAGAGAAAGGTCCTGTGAATTCAGGTCATTTGACATTAACCTGAAGGAAAAAACATTGTTTTATCCTATTTACTTATGCATACAACTCTGAAAAAGGAAAACGCTTAGAAGATATTACTTGCATGAAATCTATTTTATACTGGCACAGTAAAGAGTTTTATTTTTTCCTATAGATTGTACTATCTTGCTCCACAATAGTCATGTTCCTATACTAAAATGAATATAAGCATTGTTATAGTAATTCATCTTCATTTTCAGGTATGTTATACTGGTTGCCACTGGATTCCATATTGCCTTTCACCTTTTTATTGGGTTAAACTGATGAATTAAAAATATCATTGAATTAAGTAGATGGTATAAAAGGATGTATTATATACATCAAAGGCCTCTTATTCTGAATTGATGATAATTTAGCTAGATGAAGATCCACCCTACAAAAGCATTTCATTCCTCAAATATCTTATGAAAATAAGGATAATCATTTCAGCGTTGGTCACTTAAGGTTTAATCCAAAACCTACATATACGCCTTGTTCCACTGAAGTTTTCATGACTCTGAACTTGATATGCTCATCTCCAGATTTCTCAGTCAGATTTACAGCTTTTCTTACGAGACAGATTACATTTTAAAACTTTTTCAATAATTAAGCTATGCATATGCCTACATTTAAGTGTAACATATGCACTAACAACTCAAATATCATTTTCCCCATGACCATAAGATGTTTCCTAAATGTGAAAATTCTAAGTGCATTATTATGTGATGTAACACTTCGTTCTATGTAAAATGTAGATAAAACCAGCATTTATTCAAGAGAATTTATAATTTAAAATGAGAGTACAGAATCAAAGACGGTAAACATAAGACCATCTGAGTTTTAGACTGCATTCTTTTTAAAGTGTTTTTTCTGCTTTTCTTTTATTGGATGTCAAAAATATTGTTTTGAAGAAAAGTACGCTGATTATAATTTTAATGACTAGATCTAAAGCTCTGGATAAGACAACCTTTTAATGCTGCAACTGTCTGAATTACTAAGAGGAGTTTTATTTCATAGTTATTTTACATTCTTTACACACTGCATCACCAGAAGCAATAAGAGAATGATTGGAATTGAAATCCAGTGTAAATCAAAGTCAGTCAGATAAAGAAGATCTGAGGTCCACGTTTGAAATATTAAGTTTGGATTTAGCTACGCTACTTTCTCTTTGGATTTCATTACCTTTCTCTTCAAACTCCTTAGTTTCCCTCATTCGTAAGAGATCTAGCTGGTAGAGCTTAGAAAGAGTTATCTGTTATTAATGTATAATCTGTGGTTCTACTGAGTCACAGCAAGCACCAGTAAGGATTCAACATGGATTAATCCAGAAGTGAAATGTGATAGTATCGTCACAGATCTGGGATTCTGTCCTGAAGAGAAGAGGGCTCAGGAAGAGCTGGTTGATTTTTGTCAGTCACCTCCCACCAAGCTCAAGAACAGTCCATCCTGGCCAGCAGGAAATCAAGCAAAGTTATCAGGCAGTCTGCATGGATCAACACAAAACTCCTAGCAAATCTCAAATGTGAAAGAAACATGTTCTAGAGGTGGAAGCAGGGACAGGTGACCCAGGAGGAACACAGAGATGCTGTCAAGCACTCAGAGACAGAGTTAGAAAAGCCAAAGTTCATCTGGAGTCAAATCTGACTAGGAACATGAAAGCAAGAAGGGTTTCTACACATACATCCTCAGCAAAAGGAAGACTGGGGAAAATGCACAAGCACAGATGAATGGAGACCTTGTCACAAAGGACACCAAAAAGGCCCAGGTACACAAGGCCTTCTTTGCTACAGTCTTTAATGGTAAAACCCCGCCTTCAGCAATCCCAGGTGCCTGAGACCAGCAGGAAAATGGAGCAAGGAAACCTTACCTTCGGTGGAGAAGGATCAGGTACGGATTAAATAAGTGGACGTTGAGGTGGATTGAATATACCTGAACTGCCAGCCTCAAAGGGTTGGATCATTGGCATGAAGGCCAACTGGAAAGCAGACACTAGTGGTGTACTCCCCAGATTTATACCAGGCCAATACTGTTTAACAGCTTCACATCTTCATTAATGACCCAGACAATAGGACAGAGTGCACCCTCAGCACGTCTGCAGATAATACAAAACTGTGAGGAGTGACTGGTACATCACAGGGTTGTGCTGCCACTCAGAGGGACTGCAACATGCTGGAGACATGGACCAACAGGAATCTCATGGAGTTTAACAAAGGAAAATGTTATCCTGAACCAGGGGATGCAGCACTACAGGGTGGGGGCTGACCAGCTGAAAAGCACTTTGCAGAAAAAGACCTGGGGATCCTAGTGGACATTCACCACGAGCCAGCAAAGTGTCCTTGAAACAAAGGCAAACAGCATCCTGGGCTGCACTGATCCTTCTCCTCTGCCCAGTACTAGTGAGACACATCTGGAATGCTGGGTCAAGTGCTGGGCTCCTCAGTACAAGAGGGATTGAGCTTACTGAAGCAAATGCAGTGAAGGCCCACTAAGATGCTGAAGGGCTGGGAGCATCTGATGTGCAGGGAGACGCTGAGGGAACTGGGACTGTTCAGCCTAGAGAAAAGAAGGCTCGGGGGATCTTAGCATTGTGTGTAATGTGGGTGGGGGAAAAGAAGGCAGAGACAATCTTCTTCATGGTATCCAGTGATAGGACAGGAGGCAATGGGCACAAACTGAAGTACAGGAAATTCTGCTAAACATAAGAAGAAACTTTTTTACTGTGAGAATGGTCAAACACTGCAGTAGGTTGCCCAGAAAAACACGCTTGGAGATGTTCAAAGCCTGGATAGTGCTTTGTGCTGGGGAATGAAATCTACTCAGTTCTACAAGGCAAAACAGATAAAAACCAGCAGTAAATCTGAGCCTATTCCAAATTCAAACAGTGTGAAATATATTCACCAGAGAAAAGGCAATATCGAAGAAAGAAGTTAATAATTTTTTGGATCTGTATTATGATTATCTTGAAATGAAACTGAAGATGATGGAAATGAAAAAAGAAAGAAAGAGCAATGATACTAGCATGCAGAATCAGTTCTCCTTCTGTGTCAGAAAAAGAACTTTCTTTAGTTTCAAAGGAAATTATATTTATTCCTAAATCCCTAATGCAGAAAAGCTTCCTTTTGACTTCATTGACTTGGTGGCTAGTGGTCACAGCATCCCTCTGCATCCCACAGTATGAGACTCAGGGAGCTATTTGCACACAGCACGTACACACAGGAGCCAGCTCATCTGGACAGTTTTGCTCATCTGGACACCCAAGAATCAGCAAAGACCATAAACCTATGGTTTTCCTAGAGACACACGGAAGAAATGAACATCACTCTGCTCTTTTGTTTTTTTCTCCTTTTCCTTTTTCCCTCTCTCACACCACCACCTCCCTCCTTTCCAAAGTCCAAGTACCATGCAGTTCATGTCAGGGCTAGCCACAATTAAGGCACTGAATAAAAAATGATAGAGATTTTAGCAGGCACATCAAGGGATACATCTCATCTAATTTTGGATTTCTAAAAGTACATGTCTACCTGACCTACAGCACCTACACTATCTGAGTTATCATGGAGACTCTCCTGATATTCAGTGGGGAGAAACACCTTTTGGTACACTCTTCTTCTGATTTAATTCAAACGTCTTATTTTGGAATGAAATGCAGTATATCCTCAGAGCGCCTTTGCACTAGCTATGTAGGTAGTCTAGATGGCTGTCTTGGGTGCAGATGTCTAAATTTGGACTCCCATCCATCATTTCTGAAATAGAATTTTTGTCACTTAAAATACATTTCCAAAGTGCATTATGGCATGTTGTGACAAAGAGATTTGTCACTGCTCATGAGATGACCTGTATATCTACTTATGAATTTACCAGTCATGAGTAATGCTGCCATTTCAGATGCATAGTAACAGAACGTTAATACCATATTCTACTACACAGTCCAGAAAGTAGATGATCAAGGCCTATGTAACAAAAAAAAAAGAAACACTGCTTATTAGTAATCCTGATGTCTTCCTGTGCTTGGAATATCCAAATTCATATATGCATGTCAATATTTTACTTTTGCTTTCTATATATATATATACATATTTGCATATTTCACAGTCAGGTTCCGTATTAGTAAGAATCTTATTTCACTTGCAGTGAGGTAGCTTTCAGGACAAACTTCAAGTACATTCTTTATATCCTGATCTCTTTCTTGTCAGGTTGACAATTGATGCTGAGTGTCAGCTACAGTTACACAACTTCCCAATGGATGCCCATTCCTGTCCCCTGGAATTTTCAAGCTGTAAGTAAAATGCTTAGGAATAGCCTCTGACTCACACTGCACGACTTATTATAAATTTATATTTACATACTTAGAGTCAGTGAGGGTTATTGTTCTTAACCCGAAGTAGTGTAATGGTTTTCAGTTTTATTTTGACCTTATTTTCAACTACATGATTCATATATCTTTACAAATATAATTGAGGAATGTTATGTAAAAATTATACAATTTCTAGGAGCTATATGATTAATTTATAACTAAAGCTAAGCAAAACAGTAGAAATTTTTACTTTCAGCACCAAAGTCTCATGGCCTGATACTTTGTCTCTGCGCGTGGGTGTTTTACTATTGCAACAGCTGGAGACAAGAGTTCGACATTTTGTAGTCAGGTCAAGGTGTGAATTCCTGTTCCAGCTGCAGACTTTTTGTCCATAATTGAAGGATAGGCAAAATTGCATCCTATCGCATTGACAAAAGTGTAAAACTTGTTTTTGAAAAACTTACCCCAAGTACTATTTTAATTTATAAAAGATAAAATAAAATGTGACATTAAGTAAAGGGCACTACTAAGTAACTTGATAAAAACTTATCATTTACTTCCAATATGCTTCTCCAGTTTTTTCCAGAGATAGAAAATAGTATTTTTACTCCCCAAAGTACACTAAAATCCTAGCAATGACTATGAAACAAAGCACTCTGTATTTTCCATTGCAATAAGATGGCTACCCAAGAGAAGAGATCATTTACCAATGGAAGCGCAGCTCGGTGGAGGTGGGAGACACCAGGTCCTGGAGGCTTTACCAGTTCTCCTTTACAGGATTAAGAAATACAACTGAGGTGGTGAAGACTACTTCAGGTAAGACAACTGATCTGTTTACCTTCAAGTTCATTTAGGATTTCATTGACAGAAAGAAAAGAAGAAAGATCTCTGTTTACAACTTAGCATTGGCAGTTCACTGAGCAATTACAGGCTTTTAAATGCCTATAGAACCATCCAGGCTTTAGTATTTCTGAAGAAGAACTCGCAGAAGGAAAAATAAGTTGTTGTTTGCTCCCATTCTTGTCCTCCAAGAAACACCACTACTACAAGGGGTGGGTGGGTGAGGGAACTTTCTATCTTGCTTCACTGTAGAAAACAGCACAGCTGAGCCACTAAATGATAATCTGGTACTGATTTGAATATTTTATAATCCCCTTCCAACTCTGAGAAGCAGAAAGTAGGCCTGCGCAGAAATGAAATTCAAAGTTCCAACCTCTTTAGTACAGCAGCTCCAGGTTTATTTTGTTCCTTTAAAAAGGGCACATTCAACTCTCATTAAAGAGAACAGCATTACAAATCAGAGATGATTTTCCCACATATGTCTGTCTCCTTGGAAACAAGTAATAGAATATAAAATGATAAATGAGGAAGTACTCAGCATTTAATAAAAATAGAAATTTTAACCCTACAAATTAAGCAGGAAAATATATTCTTCTAGACACATTATTTTATTTCTCAGCAAAAAGAAAAACAGTGAATATGAGAAAGGATGTAAAAAGGAATTGCATATTAATATTCTTGTATGTGCATGATATTCCTTGTCTTTGATTACTTACTTTCAAAAAGAACAGTGAAACTAAAGCAGTTTTTCTTTTCAGATTGTTTTTGATTTTTACCTTATTTTATTATTCTGGCAAATATTTTTATTTAAATTCAGACATCTGTGTTAATTCTGACTTCAGAAATACCCCCATCCATTTTATTTCTAAATGGTCAGCATTGCCGTTACATTCAAGAGGAAAGTGAGATACGCTAGAGTTGAGAGGAGCCTGCTGTTCCTTACACTGGAGTGCAAACAAAAAGCTTGAGAATTAATTCACGTTCCAGCTCCTGAATCACTGGACATTAAGCACCAATGACATGTTTAGTCTTATGAGCAGGGCAGAAATGAATGAAGCCTCCCAGCTGTAGTCACATTTGCCTTATGACATCTTCTGCCACTTCAGCTGAGGAAGATTTAGTCAGCTATTCAAGAAAGTATTTGACCTTTCTCATTGTCCCAGTAAAATAAAAATAAAGGTGCAAATGAGGACAAGAGAGCAGTCCGCATGTGGGCCGTGGCTCCTAATAACCACCGTTATACATAACATGGTGAAATTGCTCTCAAAGCAAAAATACAGCAATACATCTCACCCAGAGTGCCCCTGCAAAAGGCAAAAGGCAGCAGTGTACTCAAGTGTGGTCTATGGTCTCATTCTGCCTAGGCTGAAAATGAATTTTATTTCAGCCTTAATTTGAGTTTCTTTTATTTGCTCTTTTTCTTTCCTTTTCTGCTTGAGCCATTCTATAATTTTTTTTTTTTTTTGGCCAGAAATAGAAAGTAATAAAATCTTAACATGCTACAAGTTTCAGATCCACTGATTCTATGATCTTGCACTGGTGAATCAAAAGCAATCTCTAATGTTCGGATGTGAAGAAAATGCATTCTAGGAAACAGTAAAACACAGAAAGCAAAAAGATACTTTCTCGTACAAGGAAAAACTTATCTTTTCTTAGGGAACAGCCATCCAAGTTTGTAATGCTCAACTGGAGTACTACCATAACATTGCATCAGTAGTTTTTAATATGACAAAACACACAAGCCCTTTTAATTTGCTTTTTAAAAAAAGGTAATTAGCAGCTAGCATCCACTTTAAAGCCACAAAGAGTCGCTCTAGTCATCTCTTGACTCCTAAGAAGAAATGCTTATGAAAACTAGTCAGCCTGCTGAGCTGCCTTCAAAGACCTGCTGGCTATAAAAACTTGTTAAAATGTCCTGCGTGTATATTTCCTCTGCTGCAGCTATCTTATGTTTGATTTTCCTTGCTCCTCTTGTTTTTATGACCACAGATATTAAAGAAAATTAGATTTTATTTTGATCTAGGTGCAGTATTTAAATAACCTGAAGGTGGAGAAAAAAACCCAACAAAATAGGGATTGCCATGAATCTGGTCTACCTCTTACAAATATTTTGCTAAAGCTGGCGTAGCCCAAAGAGTGTTCATTGCTTACTAAGTGCCTTATTAGCACACTGGGAACCACATTACATCTAATATCCCTTAGCCAGGCCCATACCATACCTGTAATTACCCTCTTACATGCACGTATTTTCAATAGATTCCCCAAAAGAAATGACAAAAAATATATTCCAAGCTTATAGATTTATTACTGACCTACATGCAGCCTGAATACACAAGTCGAATGTTTTAATGCCCATATAGCCACAATACGCCTTAAGACTTTATGCAACTAATTGCAGTGCTGCATAGAGTAGAATTTAGGTACAAACTAATGACAGTACCACTGCCAATGCTTCGGTGGGGATAAGAGCCGAGGTACAGTGGAGGAGGCAATGGGAAGATCAATGAGAAGCTGGAAAGAGGACTATACCATACTTCCAAGAACCCTTCCACAAAACTAAATTTAGATGACAACAGAAACCAGAGAAACCTGAACACGAGAAGAGGGAATTGAAGAATATGAGATTGAGAAGTTACAGAACAGAAGAAGCCTGAGAGTAGTGTTGAAGAATTTGAAACTAGAGTAAACTTTCCATATCTGCATTTACTCCATTTCAAAACAAACTAATTTCCAGCTTCATGCCTCCCAGTAACTACCACACATTCTAGTCCTTGGGGGCTATGCTTTCTTGATCACTGAGGAGAGAAGAGAACGAGAAAGGATGGCTGAGACTTGGTCATAACAAATTCTGTTACCTCTTCTGTCATACCGTAGTCGAACATTTGAGATTTGGGCTGTTACGGGCAGACGGACAAGGATTGTTCAAGTGTAAGCTTCATGGTATCTGACGGACTTTCTGAAGTACCTACAGTTCTCTGCTGTTCTTCCTTTGCATGTGCTGCAGAAATATGAGATTAAGCAAAAGGGCCAGATATTGGAATTCTGTCCCTGATCTGTTAGCAAATCCCGATAACAGCAGAAAAAAGAAACAGGAATACTACAAACCATCCTGTCTCTTTCAAGTCATCTTGAATTGTCAGCTTGTTTCTCACCAAACTGAACGTTCACATGTGACTCTAATTTTCTTTGAAAGTCACAGACCGAGCAATAAAAATATGACTTGACTAATGGCATCTGCTGTCCATTAATAGCGGGGACTGTTAAGAAAAGTTAACTCTCAACCTTCTACCCTATGAACATTTCATTAAAATAACTAATAACTAGTCTGGAAGAAAATATAATTGGTGATCAAAGGAGTAAACCAAATATACTGTTTTTAAACCATAACAATAATCAGCATTGGCACATACTATTTCGGGAAACTGTAGAAACCCTAAAATCAGAGGTTTCATTAAATCATAACTCAGACAAGGAAGAAAGGACTAGCTTGTATCTTGACATTCTTTCCACCAGTAATTTTCTAGTAATTTTATGAAATTCATAGACAAACTGTATCTGTACTCACTATTCCAGTGTTTTTGAATGTACAAAATACTGTATTATGCAAAACAGTTTGTGAATGTGTAATTATTCAGGACAGATGGAGCCTGTGGTATTCCCAGTTCATTTCTGTGACTGGGTAGTTCCTTTTTTAGACCAGACATTGTCTATTGCTTACTCACAGAGCCTGTCCTGAATTTTTAATTAGATGCAAATGCATGATAAGGCTAATCAATACTGAGCAATTCAACAAGCCACAAAGAATCCATGAAGCTGGTGAGCCAATATCTGCAAATTCCTTTTTATTTTCTTCCTATTCTGTGTTTTACAGAGCTAATTGGAGCTGTGTAGTTGAGACAGTACATTGCTCATAACTGATAAACAAATGTCAAATTGGTAATTAAATATTTATCTTGCTATGCCTCTATTAAGCCACATAAATAGATCAGGGTCTGATTTCTGTTTTACCAGGAAAATGTGGTCAAGGCTCTTATGTCATGGAAGAGGATGTATTTTCAGACTTTTATACTTTATTTTAATGCTATATCATAATGAATTGATCTGTTAGCAGGCATGCAGTCCCCAGAGGTTTCATAATGCTCAAAAAACCCAGGAGTTTTCTCCCTATACTTCTTTATTGAGTCAAAATATGATACGAGAGGTGCATATCACACTTGAAGATCTGTGTTGGGAAATAGGCCTGGCATTAAGAAATGGCCATAGGTGGATTGTCACTGTGTCTAGAAATCCCTGATGGCCCTAAAACACAGCTCTAGGTTCTAGTATGGGGTGATTACAGCATTTGGCATTGTTGGGGAGATACCTCTGGGAACTGAAAACATTCCCTGTCTGAAGACTTTGTTCTAGTCAATAGGTACAAGGTACTAGTAACAGCATTTTGGAAATTCAAAGGAAAATCCTCAGCTCTAAGCCAATACCCCTGAGATAACCCTAACATATCTTAATAGCTATACCTTAAGATTTTACTCCTAAGATTCTTGTCACCTGCCCAGAAAGAGCACCAGGGAATATTTTTTGCTTATAAATTATTATTTATTTTATTATTAAACTCTCCCTTATTTTAACACACATGAACCACTGTTTAACACTACTGTACCTGACATATAATTATTTAAAAGAAAATACAGGAGAAATTGAGCCATTTAACTTTCATATACCACTATTAAGAAGGGCTACAGGCAATTCTGTGAGCAGGAGGAGGATTTTTGTTATGGTGGTAGAGCACAACAGTTCGATATTGCTGTCAGGGAACAAAACCAGCCTAAGGTAACTACTCCTGAATATTATTTTGAAGGATAATGAATAACAAACATTTATCAAACATGAATAACAAACTTTTCTCAAATAATCCAGACTCTCATATCTATTCAGTCTTTCAAAGCGTAGCAATTAGTGAACATTTGCTAAAGTTATAA